TAAAGTATATTTAATGGCTATGAGCCTTAATTTTTTTTCATCTGCAAAGTTTCATTAATATATACCTCCTAGGATATTATAATAATGAAATAAGACAAATGCATGTAAAGTGTTGAGCACAGTGTCTTCCCATAGAATTCTGAATATTATCTTTATTGTTAATCTAATTATTAGTTTTAAAATTTTATCTTGAAGTAAATCAGCTACTCAGATTTTAAATCTATCTGTATCTAACTGTTGTGCTGCTTATTTTGAGGGACATCCTACTGATTTGAGATTAAAATATACCTAAATGTAAAGAAAAAATATTAGTATGCCAATGCTATATATTTTGTTTCCTGAGTTTATAGTTTCATGAAGTATATTGAATGTTAACATATTGTTTTTCTATTAATATTAAGTTTGGTTTATGGAGATTATTATGTTGCCATAAGAACACATAACATTCAGCCACAGAAATTAATGAACAGTTCAGGTGGAAGATGAAAAGGAAATTACAGTGAGATGATCTTCCTCATTCTAAATTATTTTATTTTCCCAGTAGCTTTTAGTTGTTACTGATAATACCTGTTATCACATTATTTCTTTCTCTCATTGTTACAAATTTATCAAAATAACACTTAAGTGCAGCATAAGATGTCGGATGATGAACCTTTATTCAACAACAGACCTCAAGGCAAATTGAAATAGAGCTTATTATTACTCACAGGTCTTGGAGGAAGTACCAGGCACAACTTGAAGGACCACATGAGGAGATTAAGGCAGAGTGCAGAGAGTCAGGACCTGAGGAACCAGGTTTTGTTACAGTCTGTGGGTGAAGTGCTTTGGGGTTCCTAGGCTAAGGTGGATTCTTTCATTTAAACCAAAAGAGGGAGTTTTGGTATGCTTCATGGTGGTCTTATGTAAGGTCAGCGTAAGGTGAAGCCCCTGGGAGGCAGGGGATGTTCTTGATCACAGAGCTGTTGAGAAGTTGTATCAGGAACTTACCTTTGCTTGTGAATCTTCAGGTTGCTCTGTGGGTATGTACATACCTGCATGAGGGACTACGGTCAGGGTCAAGTTACTGCAGGCCACTTGGCCAAACAAAATGCATGTTGAGGCAGCACCACCATGGAGTAGCTTTAGCTGAACTCTCCACACCCATGCATTACTTACTTTTTTCTACAAGTGCTTTTGTAAGTTTACATAATTGTTCTTTGCTTATATAAAATAAATTATCCTTTATAAAATAAAGAAATGAGTGGATGGCTTTGAAGTAGTCAATAAGATTCTTTAATTCACAAAGATTTATTTAAGGTATTTTGGAAACCGTGAGCACCGCAAATTCATTTAAATGATATTTCAACTTACAACAGTTTAATTAACACTGGACCATCAATCAAAGTGAAGCATAGTTATGTAAGCAAAATAGAAAAATAAAAGTAAAATTGTTTAATAGATTTTCTAGAAAAGTCCACGGTGCCATGTGTAATGCAAATAGCCCTATAATTGGACTTGAGTTACTTATAATATCAGCACTGTTACTAATTGACTGCTCCTAAGAGTGAAATCATTTAACTTCAGCTTTCTTATCTGAACCATGAAGTAGTTGAATTAAATGTGTGGTTCCCCGACTATTAAGAAGCCATAATATGCTCTTCAGAATTATTCAAACACCTGCCACAAGTGCGGCGTAAAGTGAGATTTTTGGATTTCCAAACATTCTTGTAGAATTCATATAGCACAATTCTGCTTTCATCTGACCTATTGTGAATCCTAGAATATTTTCATTTGTAAGGAAAGACACCACTTGTAGTTTTGAAAAACAAGCTGATTTCCAAGGTCATTTCTAACACTGTTCTTTTCCCATTAACTTAAATGGTGGGATTGACACTAAAGTGCATATTAACTTTGAAAAAGTGTTTTCAGTTTTCAGAAAATAGGAAAATAAACTTCATGCAACTGTTTTGCAAAGTAGTTGTGAGCATTTTAGAATTTTGAGGGCCAGAAAATGTTGTACATTTTTACAATTTACCCTCCATACATGTGGTCTGTTTTTTGCTGTTTCCAAAAAATAGTCCTTATGTTTTAGAGATTCATAGTAAAATATTTATCCATGAAATGGTGTTATATTTGGCATTTGTCTCAATATAATTAGAGATGTAGCAAAATGAGTTGGGTATAGATAAAACCAGATGGCTCCAGAGTTGGTAATTGCTAACACTGAATAATGGGCAAGTGGAGCTTCACTATAATATTTTTGCAACATTTGCATATGTCTGATTTTTCTATAGGAATATATTTTTTAAAGATTCTACTTGAAAAGAATTTTGTTCATTTATTGCAAGAGTTTTTGTTCTATAGCCAGGAGCAGTTACCGATCCACTTAGGTTTCAGTGAGCAGGCATGATCCATGTGATTTTACTATCTTAGATGGTATTTCTTTTTCTTCATCCAAGTTACACCTATTATTTTCATTGTCACTTCACAGATGTGGGCATAAGAAATTTTAGATGAGTCGTTAAAATCACTTCTGCTCATTCCCCACCCAGACACATACACTTTTAAGTTAATTTAAAACTGGACAATTATTAGTTTAGTTATAGACATCTATACATTTTAAAAACACAGTTTTAATAGTATAAAATGACTACTAGTAGACCATTAGACTCTGCTGCAACATTTTCAGGCACTTAAAATTCCTGTATAGTACACTTTCTACTTCTATGGAAAACATGAATTTTAGTTTTATTATGGTTCTGGTCTACAATGTGATGTTCTCACTTGTACAGTTACTAAATTAGTCTTCTGTCAATTCAGAAATCTGGGAAATTGAAACCATTTTGCCTTTACTTTCAAACATTGCTTCATTTCTTTTTCATTTTGAAACTGCTCTATTGTGTGTCACTGTCTAATAGATGACCAGATGGTGCTATTGAAAAGCTTCAATTTATCCTAAAATCAAACTCCAGTGAAAAGAACTTTAGGAAAATTTACACTACTGAAAGTTATGTTTTAAAAACTGGCTGCTGTTACATTTACATCAGAGATATTACTAAATCATCTTTTTATTTTAAAAGTAATTAGGGAAATCCTCTTTAGTGAATGCATCTTCTCTGTGAATGGAAGCGACCATGCAATAATATAACCCTATTCATTATAAGTAATGAATTTGTCATTAAGTGTAAATGATCTTTTGACATTCATGCTATATAACTTGTAGATTGAAATATTCATTAGTAAAGAATTTAGAATGTTTTAATTTATTTGCATTGAGTTTGGGAAATATTATACTTGAAAAACTGATCGCAAGAAATCTAACATTCATGTCATACACCGGTTACACTGATGTGTCTACCCCAGCTCACATCTACAGTCTTATAGGACCCTCACGGCCAGGTAGCTGAAGAGGAAAAATGCTGAACTTGGTTCATGGGTGGGTGGAATAGGTGAGTCCGCTCAAGCCGTGTCTGCCTGAATGGATTGCTGCTACAGCGCAGCTCCTACGGCTCAGCTTGAAAGAAAGCGGTGAGAAAAGTTCGCCCAAGGGACAGCGGTTGTAGGGTTGCTCTTTCCAGTTTATATGAAACTACACGTGGCCTGGGGTTAGAATTTACGATATCTCATGGATCTTGGCAGATAGCTTGATTGGCTGTTCTGGGACCTAGAAGGAGAAAGGTTTAAAGATCAGAGGCGGGAAAGCCTGGGTAGAGCTCCTGTGAGGCATCTACTGGGCGGCATTCTCCCGAAGAGTAACTTAATAATCCCGTGGAACGACTTGGCTAGCAGACCCCG